CTTAGAACTTACATACTTGCTGCTGTGTGCTCCACAAATTTGGCTCTAAATTTTCAAAGTGAAAGTGAAAACTTTGTTTTTCAATTTTCAGAGTTCATGAGATAAAAAACAAATCTATTGTTTAAGAGATGTATAAGATATTAATATCATATTAATTTTTCTTAGGGCCTCTTAAGAAGGACATGTTATGTAATGTAAATTTTATCATCTACCAACTTACTAATTTCATGGGGCTTTTCGTTGTATGACCTTCAGCCAGTGTTGTCAGCATGAACCCAGGATTTCCTGGACTCACAAGGGTTACAAAAGCTTTCTAAGACAGGACCCAAAAAATTATTTTTAGCCAGTTATTGCTGGTAGATGTATTTCAATGGTGATGTTAGACATAGTTGTATCAATGGGTCTCAATCTTAATGTCACTTAAAAAGCTCATTAAAGCACACATTTCTCAGCCCCACTCCCAGAGTTGCTGATATAATCGGTCTGGGGTAGAATTAGAGCCGAAGAATTTGTATTTCTCACAAGTTGCAAATGATGTTGATGCTGCTGGGTGCGGGGACTACAGTTTGAGAACTACTGAGTTATGCAGTATTGTTGAACAGATTGCACCTGACGCTGATCTGCAGTGCTGTCAACTCTGAGGTTTCCTGTAGGCTGAAGAGAGCTGTTATGTAAAAGTAGGAAACCTCATGCCTGAGTTCAGGCCTTCCTCCCAGGGTTACATGTGAAAGCCCTATTCAATTCCTGATAAATATCTGTTGGATCTCAATCTTTTTTCTGCATATGTTTCTGGTCCTAATACTTAGGAATTGAAAATATGTATCTGACATACATTGGATAGAAATTTAATCAGCAAAAGAAACTCTTATGGGGGTGTGGAAAGATGAATGTGAGATAAGGAAGCATGGAGCTGCCATGACATTTTAACAGGGTTATACAAATGGTGTTAGCCTCATTATACAGATGAAGAAACTGAGCTCGGGGGCGGTGGGGTGGGGGTGTTAAGTGACTTGTAGAAGGTTATTATTTTAAATCATCATCATCACTAATAGTATTCCATCTGTGAGTGATTTAAAGAAAGTCTGACCATATCTGATATTGCCTGACTTTTTATGTAAATTAGTAAACTGAATATTTTTATTTTAGATTGCAAATTCAATTGCCATAAACGCTGTGCATCAAAAGTACCAAGAGACTGCCTCGGGGAGGTTACTTTCAATGGAGGTAAAATTCTTTCTTAATTTCTATAAAAGATCAGAAAAGGTCACAATTCTTTCATGTATTATCTTTACAAGAGGTTATATTTGCATTTACTTTTAATTTATATTTAAATTTACTTTGTTTCTGATTTAATAATCAAGCAAAAGATAGAGATCAGTGACAGTATACATTTATTAGTAATCAGGCCTTTCCATCTTCCCTCTAGCCACCTACCACTTTGTAATCTAATATAGCCAATAGTGTTGCATATCCTCTTTTATCTTTAGACATAAAGGATTTGTTTTAAAACCCTGCTATTGTCCCTATTCTTAAATAGTTTTTATGTTTATTGACTACACTGTTCTAAACATTTAAACATTAAGATGAGTAAACTGAGGCACAGAGATACTAAATAAGCTGCCCTAGAAATATAGCCAATAAGTGGCAGAGCTGGAATTTGAGCCCATGTGATCTGGCTCCTTAGTCCACAGTCATTAGAACACACCATACCGCCTCACTGTCTCTTTCTTTGTCAAATAATCGTTATCCAAACATTTTCCCTTTGGGGCCATTTTTTTTTTCTCTTTTCAAGATAATACTAAGCAAGGCATTTACCTGTTTTTTGCAAGTAGGAAGTAAGGACTCCAGCCTTTCAGTATAATTTTCCTTTAACAAGGCTGGGTGGCTTACAAACAGCAGAAATGTATTGCTTGTAGTTCTGGAACCTCGGAAGTCCGAGGCACAGGCAGATTCTATCTCTGGTGACGGTCTATTTTCTAGTTCATAGATGGCACTTTCTAGCTGCATCTTCACATGGTGGAATGGGCAAAGGGGCTCCCTTGTGCCTATTTTATAAGAACACTAATGCAAATCATGAGGGCAAAGCCCTCATCATCTGATCACCTCCCAAAAGCCCCACCACCTGATACTATTACCTTGGGAGTTAGGATTTCAGCATATGAACTTGGAGGCGGGACATGAACATGCAGACCCATAGCACTGGTTACCACCACTACCAGAGCATGATTGTTTTCTCTTTCAATTAATCTAAATTAATACAGTTTTTCTATATGACTAAAGTCTATTCTAGATTAATAGTTCATGTATTTATATTTTTAT